AGGCCAACTTACCATAACAATGGAGCGTACTGCGTCAACACTCAGTATCTGAGCTAACGTGTCGCGGCAATTTATCCCCCTGGTATATATCATCCTTGCTACTTCCAACGAATTCCAAACCCCCGGTCCGTATATATAATGTATTCTGAAACATGTCTGTGTCTTATTACCTGTAACTGTCATTGTTTCGTCTCTCTCTTGTTCTAATCTGGATACAAGGCACGTATACTAGTGGATACTCTTGTTTCAAACTCAGTACTGTGATTTAAATTTGACATGCTGATTAGAGATTTATTCCTATTACAGAAAAGTTTGTAGCGTGCCAGCTGATACAAAATGCTTCAAGAAATTCGAACGCAAGTGTAAAAAATTTTTCATATTATTTACAAGGTGACAGTTGTCACGATTTTCATGAAAAATATATATATATTTATCCTGGATCTGGTACTGCCGTTGTCGGAATATCCGTCACCCTCTGAACCCTCGCCATAATACAGCTTATTGACATTGACCGATGTATTTCAAGTATTCATGCTAAGCTGTATAGTGTCTGCAGTTTGCAACGCTTGGATTTTTTTTCTAAATATTTTAAACAAAATACTTTCACGTTATAAATGATGACGGACCTAGTTCCTGATGCTAACTAAAATACGCCATGGTTCATTTAAGATGATGTGAACTTTTAACTAATTCCATGCATGAGTGATAATAGAAGCATGATTATTTTTCCAATAATTACACCCTCCCCTTAAGATAATTCCCCCTTTTTGTGAACATCGTAAATGAGCTTATCATGGTAACATATTCTGGATTTCAAATGATTTATGAACACCTTTCCATGGAGAAATACATCTCTTTTCCCACATTTTGACAAACAGCCTAGCTTGTTGTTTCGTTGAAAGCATACTGTTGCCGTTGATAAAACATCACTATTTTTGTATCATTCAAATCCATTTGGTGAAATATGTAGACTGGGGAAAGAATGTCCTGCTTCACTCTTAGAGGACACAATGGAAATGCCATTCACAGAAGTGAACTAAGCAGACTTGAGGAATGTTCTGTGCGTTTCGCCAAATCGATGTTATTCATCACAAAATGATTATTCAAGATTTTAGACCACAGATCTCTAACATTCTTGGTGATAGTCTAGCTACGATGTTATTCATACGGAAATAGCATTTTAATAATTTTCTTTCCATTAAGACGTCACGATAACACTGGCGACTGGTTTATGTAATGGAGTTTAGGATAACTAACAAGATGTGTATGATCAGCTAGGTTTTGTAGCAAAATTGTGGTCCTCTGAGTAGCCAGGGTCAATTTGAGGCAAGGTCTCAATAGAGGGCCATGTTCCTCTACAAACCATGCTTTGTTTCTTTTCTAGGTTAAATTGAAGACCTACATTTCACTGTGACAACTCGGTGTCTTGTGTCGTCTTAAAAAAATGCGTCTCACACACACACAAAGCATCTTACAAACATTGAGCCAGACCGTTTTACCTTGTTTCGTGGGTCCAATGTGCGAGCGAACAATAGGGGTGTATGCGCATATTGCATGCATATTGTATTTTCTGGGTCATGTACGTCACCTAGACTTCAACCTTCCAACCCATACAACACTCAAGTTCAAACAAGCAACCTTTGAACTAGAATAGAAGTTCTTGTAACACAACCATGCCATTCTTTGACACGCTCATAGTAAATAAATATGACGATATCATCAAAGTATTTGTCTATAGGAAAAAGACGCATACAGACCAATACCTCAAAATCCGATCGCACCACCCCTTACACCAAACGTTGGGCGTTGAACAGATGTGAAACGATTGTCACAGAAGAACATGATTAGAAGCAAGTAAAATCACACCCATAGCGCCTTGAAAGCATCTGCAATCCTGAAAGTTAACAATGAATGTGATAAAAACAAAAAAGACTAAGAGACGAAACACCAAGGAAAAGTACAAAACGAAAGGACAAGTCGTCATCCCTTACATCAAATGCCTGTCAGAAACCATTCAGAGAATTTACCGTGGTCATGGCATTGCAACAGCCATGAAACTCTACGAAATATCCTAGCCTATCCTAAGGATGAAACACACAAAGAGAACGCCACAGAAGGCGTATACAAATCACATATCGGAGAAACAAGCAGGGGATAAGTTGAAGAAGTCATCTGGATACACTATAACGGACCAGTACTGAACAGAGACGAGGGGGACACAGACTCTCGCTCATCTATGACAAAGTGTAAAACAAAGCGTAACCGAAATGGCTAAAGTGCATTGTTTCCATCTGGTGTAATTTTAGTCACCTATAATCTCTTTACCATCTCATCACACCATTTTAGATCCTAGTGAACATATGATTATAGTATATCCGAAAAAAATGGTAGATTCCTTACCATCTCGTACACTACGTACGTCAATGCTAGTACGCTTCACACTTGTCATTTGTCTGATGAAGGCGACTGTTTAGTCATCGAAACTAATACCTTTTACGGAAAAGGTGTCCGTCAACCTTGCGAATGAAATATGCAGGAATTCACACTGATTATGTAAAAATAACAACATCTAAATGTTTATTTAACACATATTTATTGTACATATAAGTTTCTCTGCAAGACCCTTTCGAAATGGGCAAAAATGGTCCCTTCACAAATCATACGGTCGTGCGACGGGTATTGTTCTAGTTCTTTTGTGCATTTTTAAACATAACCAAAGAATATGTTATTACATAATAAGCTCAATCATTAGTATTATAAGATTGATAAATACAATTTAACGATATTTGTCGTTTAAGGACAAGATATACATCAATAATAACCAGATCAATATATTTAGAACAGCTTTTCAATGCATCACATTCAGCAGCAACCATATACATGTACAAGTATATGTATCAGGTGATAAACATTTTACCAATTTTGTCAGTTATAAGAAAGTTATAAGAAGGGAGAAAAATAGAAACATTAAGTATGATGCATGAATTAAGAAAGATATCTATACGTGCAGGTCTCTGATATGAAATAAAAGATTGTTTACATAAATCCAAACATGTTACATTCACATATGGTCATTTCCGCATTGATATACTTACAATTAAACTGGACCAAGTGGTGACAATTAATAAATTCAACAAATAGAACAAACATTTGTGAATTTTTTCCGCGGCAAACGAAATATTAAGGTAAACCATTGAAAATTGGTGTCATTTTGGGAAGCGTCATGTTAATCGTTAAGTGTAAATATTAATTAATGCATACATTGTGATTGGCGAGATTCAGACAGAGACTGTACAACACAAGTGAAAATAATAACGAATATATCAGGTTATAACGGTTAGCTTTTCTTTTCCTCTCTTTTATCTTTTCGAACTATAAGGAAATATGCAAAGGTATGAACAAGAGGCCCATAGGGTCTGTATCGCTGTTTTGTTCGGCAGAAATTACTTTTCTAAACTAAATAAAAGAAAATCAAAAGATTCAAGACCAGGCCCTTTCATCCAAGATTTCCATTCACCACCCAAGGATACTTCAATCTAAATTGGGACAGAATCCTATAGTAAAAGGATATCAAATAATTTGCTCTATTCTCTCTATTGGGCCTTGCTTAAGATTGCCGATTGCCGACAGCTGCGTTTACACAAAGTTGATTCCCGTTCACCAAAGGATGGCTCAGGCCAAGTAAGGACAAAGTCGACATTATCATTATTATTACAATCTTAACGGTCCGTCAACACATAAAAGGTCATAAGGCCATCAACCGGTGAATGACACAGCGATTCAATAGGAAATAACATCAAACATACTAGAAGGTAAATGACAAACGATAAAAATCTTAAATGGCTATATTATAACAAAAGATTAAAATGGTAAGTCGTATTCTATAATGTCGACCAACATCTTTCAGATAACCTAGAATTTTATATATCTCAACAGTTTCAAAAAAGGTATGTAGACTTGTAACGTTACGATAAAAAAAATTCACGAGTAGACAAAAGGTAAATGCAGTCCAGGAAAAAATGTTGAACACTGAAAGGTCAAAGTCCGCATATTCTTTCAGAGAAAGATTTGCTCCTGCTCCCTTATAGGGCTCCGCCCCTCCTGTCCCAGCGGGTCAATACTCACCGTTTAAACACGCTTGATTTTCCTTCGCATTAGGATGCTTCAGATCAAATTGGGACAAAATCCTGACATTTCTACAGAGGAAGAAGAATTTTTCAAAAAATTGCTCTGATTCTTGAGATCCTTTCCACTCAACCGAGCTAAGCTTCCCTTAAAATATATTCAAACCAAATTTGAACAAAATTTGATCATTCCTTGAGAGGAAAAATAATTGAAAAGATTGAGTTATTTCCCCTTTTGGGCCCGACCCTTTACCACAAGGACACAAGACAGAAACTAAGGTACATTAAATCCAGAAATCTAGCAATAGTACAGATTTCGTAATTGTCAGAACCAAACGGTTTATGATTATGACGTAAGAGAATGTTTTATTTATAAATCTTCATATTGAAAATTCAAATGCTAAATACTATATCGTTAATACTACCAAACAAAGCTTGACATTTTCATCTAATGTTATTGTGTCTGATTAAGGTGTTTTATGTTTTCAAAACGTGTGACATTTTACTAAAATATATCTTATCTCGAAGATTATTTAGAAATGACAAAGCAAATTTAAGGCTGTTTGATATTCATGCAAATACGACTATACGGGACACGTTTATCGCGGTTATATCTATATGCGCAGATGTTTGTATTTCAAACCCCGTTGAATAAGTGATCAAGTCGTTAATATTAAACATACATATTTTGTATGTTTAATGGTTATTATATATCCCCAAAACATATCTATCTTTGATAATGCATGCGTAAATGTCACGTATGTCGTGCTGGTTTAATATTTTTTTTAATCTTTTTTTCGTGTCGTTATTAATCAAACGCAATTTTATAGAAACTTCAAAAGTTAGTTAACTTATATATATAACTGATGTATACTGCTACATCTGTTCTACATCATTCGATTCTCTCGAAAACGTGAGAACACCTGAGGGGAGATTGGATCAAGCACAAGATAGAAGTAAGTCTCTGTTTCTAAAAAGTTTAGGATTTAGTATGTCATTCCTTAAACTTGTTACGATAAATCGCCCTATTGTGTGTAGTATATTTGTGATAAACCATTTGTGTGTTTGTTTCTTGTTTTCTTCATGCGAGTCTGTATACCGAGTCATTAATCTCGTAACGCATCGTTGAGGCAATACAACATCCAAGTACCTGAGACCATGCACTTAATATTCAGCAAAAAACTGAATTGAATCTGGAGTTTCATTTAAATTTCGCACGATAGACTAAATACAAAGTGTTTACTCAGATCATATACGTACCCGTCTCTGTCATGTTCTCAAATATAATTTGACAAGTCTTGGCTTCCTCATTACATGTGGTGCCTTTTCCTTTTAGATCGGCCCTGATTTTCCCTCTGCCCTCCCCTCTCCCCATTATTAATATTCGCAAGTTCACATATTTATTTCATATTAAAGCACATGTATTTTCCCAGGTGGCTAGACCGGTAATTGTTTATTATTAAGATGACTGTAGGTGAAACTAGACATATATATATATATATGTATCACGCTCCAATTCTTATACCTTTCTTTAATCTCTCACAGGAATATTACAAAAAGATGGACTCCACAAGATCTCTCCAGTGGATAGTTGACTTGGATGGTGCTCATGATCCAAAGTACGGAACGCCACACAGGGCACCGATCGTGGCAGCGACTCATGAAAATTTCAAAGAATACGGCAATTTAGTTACCGACTTCGATGCTGAACAAATTAAAATCGTGCCCTGGCCAATATCTGGAAGACGACCGCTATGCAGTGGAACAGGAATATTTGGCGGGGTTGCTGAAGGTGACTTCATTCATGACTGGGTTGGCGACCGGTGTAGGGCAACTAGTTTAGCTATGGGTTGGGGAGTCGGGAGCGACTTTTTTGTAGGTCGTCTACCAAAGGGCGTTAATCCGGAAAACAAGACAAGTGTTTTGGTTCGGGAGGCCAATTATCACCCGGATGGAAGTCAATGTTTCTTTCCTAAAGATAAACTTCCATTTGTGGCGCTGTTTGCTCTTCCTGGAGATGATGTCACTTTAGAGGATTTCGTGGCGTTCTACTCCGACGGAAGTTTTGGGTTCCACATTTTACCAAACGTTTGGCATCAACCTATGATCCCAATAAGTCAGAAAGCGGTGTTTAAGAACAAACAAGGGGCCGTCCACGCATGCGTCAATATGGATATGGTTGATGAGTTTGGGAAATTTCTCTGCGTTCCTCTTACTCTCGACGGACAACAGTGAAACAAGCCAGTGACATATCATTCTACGCTGCATCATTAAGATACACAGCAATAATATGGGCGAGGAAAAATATTAAATGGTATTACGTTCCATGTGTCTTAAAATCTTTTTATACTGTTACTATCGGTCACGTGCGATGTTGTCGTTACAGTGATGAAAAGTTTGTAGCGATTGGCAAATCACAAACTACGGATATGGATAAAGGTGCAGTCCGTGGATACAGGATAGTTCGGAAAGTGTTAAGAGAATATAAGGGCCGAGGACAACTGCTGATGCCTGCAAACATGGAACGAACTAGTTTTGACGAACGGAAAATATCAATACTGCGCTTGTAGAAAACTAAAGAGCTATGTCAGATAACCAGTGTCATCATCATCATCATCATCATCATCATCATCATCATCATCATCATCATCATCATCTTCATCATCATCATCATCATCGTCATCATCATCATCAGCGTCATCATCATCATCATCATCATCATCATCATCATCATCATCATCATCATCATCATCATCGTCGTCGTCGTCGTCGTCGTCGTCGTCGTCGTCCTTTATTTTATTCCTCAATTCTGAGATACATAGTTATATTAACATACACATAATTACACGAGGATTATAGCGATGTGATTAGTATATAAGTTTGTAAAATCTTATCCTTACTTATCCTTACCTGTAAAATGTATTCAAATACGATATTATTTAGTAAAACAAAAATTAATATGATAGTTATCTTTGAACATAATTTAAATTCGTGCATCATGCTCACAATTACTGTTAATTTATACGGACATACATAATTAAGATATTAACATTCACTGATGAACCGTCACTGATTCATTTTAACAAATATGAAAATATCATAGTACTTTGTACGTTATATAACTCAAAATAGAGATATTTTTAAGTAATCAAGTAAAGTCGTTATAAAAGTCATCCAGTATAGTTTTTATTGGAACACCAGACTTAAGTAGCGTACTCCTAAAAACATCATTCAGTCTTTCTTCCGATATGGCATAATATCTGTATACCTGTAGAATATTCCCTTCTGGTCAAAACTACGGAAACGTATTAGCGCAATTTAAAAACTTTTTTTTAAATTTCATGTTTTACACGCAATCTGTAAATTTTACATTTTAATCTGCAAATTTTATACTTAAAACATAAAAATTAAAAGTTTTTAAAAGTTGTACTTATACGCTTCCGTACAAAAGTTGTTTTTGAAATATGATATGTAGCTCTATACATAACAATGGATTGACATTACATAACTAAACTGTGTCACCGCTTACCTCACCACAAGAGGCACATATTTTAACATCATGACGTGGATACTTCAGAGTGGAGAATTTTCATTACATGTCCGATATATCGTGACTGTTAATTAGTTTTTTTGCTGCCTGTAGTAACCTGAACGGCTCTCGATGCATGGCATGTACACATTTGTATCTCATAAAATCTTTATCGTTGTCCATCAAATAAAGATAGATTTAGTTAATTTTTTTCATTGTTCTGTAATTCCCTTTAAACAACGTGTTTCCATTTGTCCTTCGTTGGACCAGATTTTATATAGGTCAGATTCAGATAATTCATCAAGCTACATTATCGAAGTATCTTTATCACACCGGATACATAACCGCTGTGTACAGTCATGACGTGACAAATATTATCGCCGGCAACGTAAAAGGATGAAGTGGTATGATAAGTTGCAACAAAGGAGTTTTATTACATCAATACCGACATTGAGTCATCCTAAGACATTAATAGATAGGATATATGATATAAGAAAAACATTATGTAAAACGCTGAAAATGTGGAGAGATTTAAGGATGTGGTTAGAAATCGAAATTAAAATTAAAAATTAAAAATTAAAAAAAAATTAAAAGGAGAAATGCAAAACTTATCAACAAAATTATCGGAAAAGAAACATCAAGAAGGCAGAATTGTGAGGCGACATGGTGATATAAGAGAATATAGGGACAGAACTGTGAGGCGACACACTGACGAAAGAGAATATGGGGGACAGAATTGTGAGGTGACATGGTGATATAAGAGAATATGGGGGACAGAATTGTGCGGCGACACACTGACGAAAGAGAATATGGGGGACAGAATTGTGAGGGGACACACTAACGAAAGAGAATATAGGGGACAGAATTGTGAGGCGACGCACTGATTGAAGAGAATATGGGGGTCAGAATTGTGCGGCGACACACTGACGAAAGAGAATATAGGGGACAGAATTGTGAGGCGACACACTGACGAAAGAGCATATAGGGGAAAGAATTGTGAGGCGACGCACTGACGAAAGGGAATATGGGCAGGGCTAGCTCTGGGTCAAAATTCAGTTTCGCCAAACCAATTTTTTTTTTCTATAAGCGTGCAAACAGATTCCGGAACTCACCCTCACCCGACGAGCCCTTAATTTCCTCATATAATAAAAACACATATGCTAATTATATAATTACATTATTTATTCACTGTTTTAACAACAATACATCAAACATAACACAGTATATGGTAAAAGAGTTTATAAACATGGAATTATTACAGGCCTTCTGCATCTCGACAGTTTGCTGTTGTGTTGCCAAAGCAGCAGAGTGAGAGTTCTCATCTGTAAAATTGAAAATAAAATTTAGAATAGAATTGGACATTTGCAGAGAGATACAGGATTACATTGAACCTTATTTTACACCATCAAAGTATTATACTTATTACAGTAACTTCCTAAGTAATATATCTCTTAAAAACACTTCAGAGATAATAAAGACATAATCGTTAAACTAAAAGATTGTGTTTCTAATTCATTTGCCAAGCAGGCTGTAATGAGTAACTACATTGTACCATCCTCCAGGCTGTATAGTATTTCTGAATTACTTAATCTAAATTTACATAATTTTCTGTTCATAAATGATGAATAGTTGTATATACTGATCCTTTCTCATGCTTAACCAAGCACTTCTTCTTCATGATACTGCAGCCATCAGTGAAACTATTTCTAACTAATGCCTTGATACATATGTCACAAAACATGAGCTTTTACTCTGGGTCATATTTTAGCCATGGCCTGCCAATTTTCCAACTATCTAGAAACTTTCTTGAACTACTGCCCCTGTTAGTAACCTGATCAGGACTATCATTTTCCTTTTCAATAGATGGTGTCTTAAAACCAAATGATGACAATCTGGGTACTTTCCCATCCCTATCACTAAAGGGGAGTTTACGTTTTCCCATTTCATCTAACGATCTATCTCAGTGAAGGGCCAAATCTGATGTGACCAAAATATGTACAAAAATATAAAACAAAATCGGCAACATAGTGTAAAAACAACAAAATTATATCTTGTGTTTCTTGCTATTTTGATTGTCGATCAAAAAGCCCATTTCGGGCCCTTTCAAATACACTAGTTTACTAAGTTATGTCTGCAGAAATCACAAACTCGTGCCCAATTAACGACATCGACACACCTAATGATCCACCTACCGTAAGCCAATTCCCGATAAAACAACATCTTTCCTGCAGCTAACCTACCTTATTGTTCACGGCAGAGGCTATCTCGGATTGAGACAATGGAGACATCATTGGATAATTGGCGATTTTCTTTTCAGGCGTGTTGCTGTTTAGACAGGTAAACGTTTCTGTCAAAACACAAAAGAGTTCCGTTAGCTGACCTTGCCCCAGCTACGTGAGTCAGCCAACCGTGAACGTGTAGTACACAACGATGTCGGAGCAAAATTTACCTGTGTCACTCGTTACAAATAAGTTAAACGCCATTGACATCGGTGACTGGAAATGTCTGTAATCGGCATTTTCGCCAATAGAAATTTGAAATCGCCAATCTCATTTCACTTTCGCCAATGGCGCCATTGGCGATCGCCAGCGCGAGCCCTGATGGGGGACAGAATTGTGAGGCGACATACTGACGAAAGAGATTAATGGGGACAGAATTGAGGCGAAGCACTGACGAATGACAGTATAGGGGACAGAACTGTAAGGCGACGCACTGGCGAAAGAGAATATAGCGGACAGTATTGTGAGGCGACATACTGACGAAAGAGAATATAGGGGACAGAATTGTGAAGCGACGCACTGACGAAAAAGAATATTTGGGTCAGAATTGTGAATCGACGGTCTGACGAAAAAGAATATTTGGGTCAGAATTGTTAAGCGACGCACTGACGAAAGAGAATATATGGGTCAGAATTGTGAAGCAACGCACTGACGAAAGAGAATATAGGGGAAAGAATTGTGAGGCGACGAACTGATTGAAGAGAATATTTAGGTCAGAATTGTGAAGCGGTGCACTGACGAAAGAGAATATAGCGGACAGTATTGTGAGGCGACGCACTGACGAAAGAGAATATAGGGGACAGAATTGTTAGGAGACGCAATGACGAAAGAGAATATAGGGGGAAAATTGTCAGGCGACGCTCGGACGAAAGAGAATATAGGGGACAGAATTGTGAGGCGAAGCACTGGCAAAGGAGAATATAGGGGACAGAATTGTGAGGCGACGCTCGGACGAAAGTGAATATAGGGGACAGGATTATTAAGCGACGCACTGATTGAAGAGAATATTTGGGTCAGAATTGTGAAGCGACGCACTGACGAAAGAGATTAATGGGGACAGAATTGTGAGGCGAAGTACTGACGAAAAAGAGGGTAGGGGACAGAATTGTGAGGCGACGCACTGACGAAAGAGAATATAGGGGACAGAATTGTGAGGCGAAGCACTGACGAAAGAGAATATAGGGAAAAGAATTGTGAGGCGACGCACTGACGAAAGAGAATATAGGGGACAGAATTGTGAGGCGAAGCACTGACGAAAGAGAATATAGGGAAAAGAATTGTGAGGCGACGCACTGACGAAAGAGAATATAGGGGGACAGAATTGTGAGGCGACGCACTGACGAAAGAGAATATAGGGGACAGAATTGTGAGGCGACCCACTGACGAAAAAGAGTGTAGAGGACAGAATTGCGAGGCGAAGCGCTGACGAAAGAGGATATAGGGGACAGAAATGTTAGGCGACACACTCACGAAAGAGATTAATGGGGACAGAATTGAGGCGAAGCACTGACGAATGACAGCATAGGGGACAGAACTGTAAGGCGACGCACTGGCGAAAGAGAATATAGCGGACAGTATTGTGAGGCGACGCACTGACGAAAGAGAATATAGGGGACAGAATTGTTAGGCGACGCACTGACGAAATAGAATATAGGGGGGAAATTGTCAGGCGACGCTCGGACGAAAGAGAATATAGGGGACAGAATTGTGAGGCGAAGCACTGGCAAAGGAGAATATAGGGGACAGAATTGTCAGGCGACGCTCGGACGAAAGTGAATATAGGGGACAGGATTGTAAGGCGACGCACTGATTGAAGAGAATATTTGGGTCAGAATTGTGAAGCGACGCACTGACGAAAGAGATTAATGGGGACAGAATTGTGAGGCGAAGCACTGACGAAAAAGAGGGT